TGCTGTGGTCCAGTCTGTATACATGTGGTCTTATATGTGTGTGAGTACAACAGCACAGGGGAATGTGTATACAGCTTTGCCACTAGACTTCATTAAAACTTGAGACTTGAAATCTCAAGAAGCTGAATACACCTGGGTGTGTGTTTTTTCTTCTGCAGGCTAGAACATAAAGCACACACAGTCCCAGAGAGAGTCTTACGCAGACAAGCGGAGGAGGCAGGGGTACTGGTCAATTTGCCATTCACAGAAAGAGAGAAAGAGGCAAAGGGAAAAAAAGAAAACGTGACGTGCAAAGACAGAGTGAAACAAAGAAGGGGGCAAAGAGACAGAGAGAGCTCCAGCTGCCAGAGACAGACCAACACTAACAGTAGGCCATGAACTAGGAAGCCACAGTCACAGCTGTCACATGCTGAAGTGAAATTTGGGACAGCGCTTTGATGGTATTTCTGACTGATAGCCCAGAATTACCTCAACCAGTGTACTAGCACAGTTATCCTTCCTGCTCACTGACATTAAAGCCAACAGTTTAATATGAGAAGTTTCGGGGAGGAAAACTGTCACCGCAAACAAAATAAACGGAATTTCTGAAAGTGTTGTCACAGCTGCCTCTGTGCAGTACACATCTATTTGTGAACAGTCTTTCTTTCTGCGTCCCAAAGACTGCCAGGGACACGGTGACGACCTGTTCTGGATGGCTTACAAGGCAAATCCCTTTATGAGGTGCAAGGAAAGGGTTACGCCCATTGCTCTGTAAATGGATGCTGCTCCTTCCTTTCATTTCCATAACAAGCCATCAGAACTCATCTCCCACTGAAGTGGCCACAGTCCCACTGGCAATTAAAATCATGCTGGGACATGCCATGGTTGTGTGTGACTCCACTGTGGGAAACAAAAGCAGCGGCAGCAGCGATAATGACGCCAACAGTTGAGTGGTAAATCTCGAACAATGTCGGCAGAAACCGTCTCTTTGATTTCTCCAGGAAACTGAGAGCGGGCCTCGTTTACATGTTTCAGTTTGAGCCTTACTGGAAAATATCAAACAAGAAGACAGCAAGAAACAGCATCATCCCATCTCTGTCCTCTTTATCACTTTCTATATGCAGTCACAGCACTGAAAAGGTGGGTGTGTGTTTTGTTTCTCTTTTTCTTTTAAAAGAACAGTGTCTAAACAGGCCTGAAATTTAGGAAGTTTATGAAAAATAATAATTTTGAAAACACACCAGCACAACAACCAGACTTGATCAGACTTTACAAAACTACAGGAGACATTTGTTTCCTCTTCTGACCTCATTTTTATAATACATTCACTCCACCTCGGCTGCAAAAAGAGAGCCTTTGCTAACATCAACAGACATTATTTACATTTTTTTATTAAATATAAAATTAAGGCTTGTTAAACTTCAAGGGAAACCAGCAGCAGTGCAGCAAAGCTCACATATTTAATGATAGAGGCTTTTGTTTAAAACATTATCCAGCATCTGCATTGATAATTAGTACACACGTCAGGATGTGTCGGATTCGGCTCCAAAGACGATTAATCGATCACATCTTGCGTTCAGTTCAGTTGGTTCTGGGAGCATCGTGCTGTGTTTCTACCTTCCCTCTGTTTGTACACTTGCCAGGCACTCACCACATCTGCTAACCAATCCCCAGGTGGAAACCCTGGACATATCTTTTACCCATACTGCTGAGAAGAAAACCGTACATGGTGATGAATTCATTTTGTTCATCGCATCTGTATTTAAAATAATATAGTGAATAAAGGCACCAATAAAGTCATTACAATGCATCCACTGAAAGGAATGACATTAAATAAACTCGTTTTTTTTTCCCCAGTGAGAGGGTGGATGAGGAATAGTGTTCTGTGAAACTAACTGTTGAGATGCTGAAACCTTTACAGAGAAATACTGGCACTCTAAAGCTACTTTTAGCAGCCCATCTAACAAAGCTGTGGCTATCCCCAGCCAGCCTAGGAGGAGACGAGGCATAAATGAATGTGCATAAAGCACTTTGCATCACATCATCATTGTTTAATCCTTTCATTCTCATCTGTCAATCATCCTCAGATGCAACCTAATCCCTGAATATTTGTGGGCCAGTCTATATTGATACCTTTGACATGACTTGTAAGCACAGCTTCTATTTATAATACAAAATGTTCTTTTTAAGTCTTAAGATAAGCTTTAGTTGGGTGACATTATTCATTTGTAATGTGTGTGCCAGTTGGCATTTCTTTAGCCTGTTTCCTTTGATTGACGGGGCCTGTGGTTATCTCCCCTTTGTGCCCTTTACCAATATTCCGGTGCAGATGGTCACAAAAAACATAAGATTACTCAGATCATACATATACATGACTCTCAAACGGAGGTGGAAATCAGAGGCAAATGCTGCTCTGTGACTTATTTGCCCACATTTGCAAAAACTGACTCATACCGAAGTAAATCTACTGTATGTCTGACTATGACAGTAACCTACAATTCAGGCAACACCGACCTTAGAAAGCACCATTTTCTCCACAACTGCACGCATCTACATAGACCGATTTGTCATAAATATTTCATTAGATCTAAATTAAATTAGGGTGAGTGTCCACTTTCATATAACCTAATGATAATTGGCTGTCAAAGTCCTTTCAGTCCATCTCTGACCGTCTCTTTACAGTGGAAGTGTCCATGTGCTGGGGCAGTGTCAGTTATGTCTGCTGATACAAGTTGTTTTTCCTGTGATCCTGTCATCCCAGTGCAAACACCTTCAGTTGTTTACAATGAAATGTCCTCCGTGTTCACCTTCACCTCCTGTCTGTTTTCAGCATTACTCTACGTGATGTACATACTGTATAGTTTTACCATACTGCAGCATTCAGCAATGAGAGGTCATTGGCAGGGTTACTGGCGAGGTCATTGTTAGTCGTGAGAAAATTAACGCTGATTGGTCCCGTCACGATTCGCTCCCCGAAGCTCGTGCCACCGAGGCACCTGCCAAGCCGAGCTTTTTTTAAACAAAAAAAAAAAAAACCTATTCAACAGCTGCATAAGCAGCCAGGCAGGGAGACAGTGGAGGGGAAAGAGGGACAAAAGAAAGCACATGCAAAACAGAGAGCACTTTCTAAATGGGAACCTCAGAATGGGACTTCTTTTAAAGGTCTTAAATCAATTGAACATAAAGTACAAACCCATGCAATGTTAATCTATCTGGCCTAATCCCATTGCTTTAAGTTCCTTTATAATCCACATTCAATACAACCATTTTTCTTCTCTAACAAGCTAGCCCTATAGCCATTTTATAAATCATTGGTACAAGGCCTGTGCAGTGCCACAAATGCTGTTATGGTGTCATTATTTCACTGAGTTATGAATCACGCAAGGTAGAGTGACAAATATTTTTAAGACTTATACAACAGCACAAAATATTGTATTTCCTTCTGAGTCATTGCAAAAAAAAAAAAAAAACCAGGAGTATAATGCTGTTTAAAAAAAGATAAGCAATAACCACGACAGCAAGAGGAGTTTCTTGTTCACTTAAAAACTGGAAGCATCATCAAACATCTGAGCTGTTTTATTGCGCCTTCGACTTTTATGAGGAAGGCTCAGAACAGAGGAAGTTAAAGTGATATACTTGCCATGTAAGAAAATGTGGAGAAACACTGGTAGTTTCTCAACTATATGCCAATATCCTTAAGTCACCATGTGCTCGGGCTTTGAAAGCCTGCACTGCCAATTCCTCATTTGAAACCTGAACAACTCTTTAACAATGCCTCTCTCTGATCCAGTGGAAAGGAGAAAATCTATTATCGATTTCCACCTGGTTTAGGTTGGGAAAAGCCCTGATAGCGATGCTGAATAGCGCTACAGTGTACTGTGCTATAGCCTGCACAGTAAACGCTGGGGGATGGTGTGAGAGGGCATGTCAACAAAGCCCTTGACTACGCCACAGCACCATCTGCACATGCTGAATATTTAATTGTCAATAGAAACTGCTCAAGACCAGTAATCAAGAAAAGAAAAGATAATACGCATCATGAAGAGCTTGTACGACAGTTCCTGCGTGATTGGAGTTTGGCTTATTTTTTTTAAATCACCCATTGTTTCTGTGCTAATTGTGACAATTTCAACATGCACGCGACACAATAAAAGATATTTCTAAATCACTTATGCCATTCAATCCCATTCAACTCCAAATGCTACAGAAAACAACTCAACCGACTTATAACTCAGCCAGAAAATGTAATTCATCACTGTCAGTAAGAAGTCACCAATCATTTTCTTGCAAATTCAGTCGAGCTAATATCGGCCCATTCACTTAAAAATAAAGCTCGCCATTTTACATTAATGTGCACCTTCCAAAACACTTTAACAGCCGGCACGAGACAGGAGAGCCTTGATTCCGCTTTTCTAATTCCCAGATTTCCTCTTTCCACCCCAGAATAAATCTTTAAACCAACAGCTAACATTCGCTGCAGATAAATTAGAGCCTGTCTCCTGTCAGTCACGACCCTGTCAAGTCAATAGGCAAGTTACCAAAGCAAGATGGTTTCCCCACTTTTACTCTGTTGCATTAAACAGACAATAAAGCTTGATTTAATACAATTGCAGACCAAAATTGCCACCTTCTGCTACAATGGCACTATATTGTAATAGTAAGACAGAGCTCATTGAAAACATTTGCCATGATGAGGGAGCTATGATGAGGGATGAAAAAAAAAAGCCTATAAAAGCACTAAAAAAAATAAAGAAATAAATAAAAAATGATGTCGATATAAAACAGTAAGGTAATACAGAAAAGCAACATAACCTCAATCATGCTGAAAATTTCCTTTAAATCTATTATTTTCAACTTTAATTGCTTTGGTGAATCAGCACAGACAAGGTGAGAACAATGGGTCCACACTCGGTGTTTGTATCTCTTTGTATCTGCTGTGTGAGCACACAAAATTAGGTAAGCTAGTGACATGAGACATAATCATTTTCTTTGAGCGGGGTTAGTGACCAATTTATTCTTACCTTAGGCTGGGCGCGACGGGGAAAGGCAACCTTAGGATCAATCTGAAAATAAGAAAAAGAACAGCAAAATTTGTTGTTAAAGGCAAAAGCTGGGATATGTGACGGGTGAAAGGCATTAAACAGACGTCAACAAAGGGTCCCTGAGTGCAACTGCTCACATTTTAAATCCTCTACGGCCAGGAATAAATCCCAGTATTTTCAGCGCGTATTTATAATTTAATATAGTTACATTTTTGATTTTTAATTGAGCCATTAAGATTTACCAAAAAAAATGCTTTATAAACAGCTTGTGGTGATGCAGACAGTCTGCTTTGGAATTTGAGAAGCATTTTCCGGAACTAGAGCTGCAATCAAGCCGTTGCAATTACAAATTAAGTGTGCACATGAATGAACCAACAAAGCAGTAATAAGAACTTAGAAAGAAGGGGTTTTTTTGTTAGACAGCGCCAAATACTTTCGTCAACTCTGATATATTTCTGCCCAATCTGGTAATTTTTCACAAAGGACAGACTGGATGTGCTGCCACCAGTGTACCCAATTCACCAAAATTAAATATTACACTCTATCATTTTAGTAAATATTAAAATGAACTCTGTATTCTGTTTATGTTATTGGTGACCGGTTCATTTGTAAACTGCTATTTACTGCACTGTGCAGAAACGTATTACTCAGTGCATAAATCCAAACTGTAAAACATTTAAATTTACTGTTGGCCTATTACCCAACCTGTTCCCTTATAAATTATCCAGGTGCACAGGTTTACCCAATAACTGGTTTGATTTCACGTCAGGATTGTCACTGGGCAGCCCAAAGTTTTTTCAAAGAGAGCCGGCCAACATCACTGACCTCATTACTCACAGTTGCAAATTATCTGCAACTGACGGACCTCGATGACACGTACTCGGCACAACATTCACCGCATTTGGAAGTGTACTTTAGGAAACTACGTATTAATTACTGCTAATTACTGTGAGTGTGTGTGTGTGTGTGTGTCTTTGGACCAAATTATTGGTGCTGCAACCTGATATATATTAAACAGAATCAGCACTAATACAGAAAAAAAAAAAAAAGTTAGCGTGGAGGCCAGCCACACCAATGTTCTGCTGGTCATGGTCGCAGCAGAGACTCGCTTTTATTTTAGGCAGGAACCGCTGATTGAATATGACAGGAAGAAAATGAGAGTCTGAGGCCGGTGACGCCTCCAGATATTGCCAAATAACCGGGAGGATGCGTCAGATCAGCATGTTTCTCCATCTTGTGCTTGTTATCTCATTAGCTTCATTTTCCTCATTAATTTCACTGGTATGAAGGTATGTGGTGGGGGGTCTCATCAACCTTGCACTTAGAGTGAAGAGGTAGTGTCTCAAACAGCAATGTCATCCTAAATTGTCCTTGCCTGCATACCAATGACTTTGAGAAAGAACATTTCCAAAACAATGCTTCTGAACACAGCACCTTATCGCGGGGTTTCTTTTTTTTTTCCCTCTGCTCTGTGTTAATACTGAGATATTTACAATTTGTATACCAATTCTATGCATTCGCACAAGTTGCTCCTCCGGCGCAGATGGATTTATTTAAGAAAATGATATCTCATCATGCTGGGGAAAACAATGGAAAGAAAACAGAAGAAGAAAAGACACCATCTGCACGGATCAATTAAGCCATTGAGACTGACTACATTTTAATCTGTTTGAAGGGAAACCATGATGTGCAATGTCACTGTCATCTTTTCTGCCTGTCTCACTTATTACTGTTATCTTTCCAAATCAGGTCAAAATGAGAAATGAATTCAATAACACCTGGGCACGGTAACCCTGCTTGTAATGAATTTCATTTAAAGATTTGTTTTAGCACTTAGCCCCAGGCATAACCAATTCAAACTCAATTATTTTGTGCACCCTATTTGAACAAAGACAACACATTATGCTCTGAATACCAAAGTCCTATACTTGGTAATGTATCTCACTTTTTAAGCATATACACAACATATCAAACCTCGTTTCATCACACTGCGTAAACTTGTTATTCTGTCCTGCTGAGAATTTCTATTCACTATGAAGATTTCTCTTTGCGACGCGCACAAGAGAACGCTTTAACACAGCGGGAGAAATGTCATATAGTTTTCTGCCAGTTTAAAATATTACAATTATCAAAAAGAAACAATTACATGCCACAAGAATGTGTTAAAATTATGCTGCGGATTGTTTAAATCGCACTCCGAGCGATGCAACCAAATTAGGCAACGAGGACTTACTAACCAATCCTTCTGAGAAATGCTGTAGCAGCACCTTTTTAGGTCACAACTTATGATGAATAACTCCTCTGAGAAATTTCAAATTATGAAGAAAGGAGATGTAGCAATTGTTTCCCTTTGCTGTACATACTGAGTGTGTGAGGGATGTTTTTTCATTTTTTCTTTTAAATGTAGAAAGTGCCTTTATTCTTATGGCCAAGAGCTAAAACACGCATTACCCTTTGCACTGGATAACCATTCCACTGAACCAGAGATTATGTTGTCTCAGTTTCACCTGATACTTCCTTCCTGAAACATTTTTCTTATGTAACACACATACCATCGGGTTTGGGATCAGGACCGGACCTGAGTAGTGCACTTGTTTCAGTAATTTCACATGGACTACTTGTAAATCTTATTTCTTTCAGGCCTTTTGTTATCTATGAATAGTTTTTTACATTAAAATACCTCTCAGTGTTTCAGCTTGCATATTTGGTTTACGTTGTTGTTTAGGATAGTTCACTCTTGCTTTCGCTTTGATTTAGAATTCCCCTCCTACGTCGGCTTAATGCAACAAGTTTAGGCATATTCTGTGGTTTGTTGAATCATAAGCTGATGTAGCAGCAGAGGACAGGAAAATGTGTAAGAAAAAAAATTTATTAAAGCACTTTGGAACGTCATAAACTGAAGAATTGTAGTCTAGAAAACTACTATTAAGCTGTAACTGCTTATAATATGGCACCAGAAAAATACATAATTAAGCCCCCGTTTCAAAGAAAATTAACGTGGATAAATCAAAAGCAGGGCAAACTAATTCGACAGCACACAGATATGTCGATACCGAACATGGAGCTGAATGAACAGCCTGCTCTGACCACACTTGAAGGGACCATGCAGGGCTGGAAAACGTATCACTGTAATTGAAAGCAACTGAAGGCATAATGTGTTCAAATGGAAATCAAAACGCATCACTGAAAAACAACACCAATGAGTTGTTTTCTAACCTGGAGCTCGACCTAATTTACACATATGACAAGTGTGATTCTATTTAGGTTTTGTGTGTGTGTGAGAAAAGAAAAGATTGAGGTATCATTATTATTATTATCATTATTATTATTATTATTATTATTATTATTATTAGCAGCATCTGTTAAACACAATTTTCTGTAGGATGCATAAGGTTCTCTTTCAATTACAGTAGGAACCCCATCACAGGTAGCAGAACCTGTTATACACAATTGACTGGCAGCCTCTAATGTGATGTCATTTTCAAAACAGGCCCTGCAATTACAGCGTGTGTGTGCCTTTTGTGTTGCGGGTATTTCAGAGAAATCTGAACCATCTACCCAGCCTACACGGCTCAATTCACAAGGCCATGACTAGTGATGTGCTAAAGACGCACTACTTGTAAAGTATTCTACAAAGCTGAAGCAAAACTTGCCTCTCCGGTGAAACTATTTGGGGAATTTGCTAAACTTATAGACTTCCCATCACCTTAACAAGACTCCTTCAAATTAAAATTTGACACAGCTTTGTTATATGATGCAACACGGTCTCACAAAGAGCAAAAGTGGATTTCCTCAAGACATCATACAACCTGATATGTCAACGTAATAAATGAGAACAGACCAAGAGGAAACCCCCCTCCCCTCCAAACCCCACCCCAACATCTTTTATCTTCCACAGCCTTTTACTATAGGGTCTCTGAGGGCTGCTTCTGCATGCGACCGTGGGAGATCAGGGCAGAGAAACAGCATATATCTTAAGTTCACATCTTACAAAAGGATTTCATATATTAATGCAGCTCCTGGGTAAACTCTCTTCCTCTCTCTTAAGACATATCTACACTAGCATGATGATGTGGTGTTTAAGCTAAAAGGAAAAGCCTTATCAAAGCTTGCAGCCTCTCCCAAATATAAGTGTGTGAGCAGGTCCACAGGTGTGCGCGTGTGATAGCAACAGAATAGACAAGAAATTACAACATAAATGTTTCATATCTGCGCTGTCCATCTTTACTGATTTTTTTCGCGGCGGAATAGCACCTCGAAAAAGCAGTTTGTTATGATCCTCAAATCAGTAATGAGAATTTTACCAATGTCATGCTCAACAAGCAAATTGGATATATATTTTATTTCTTCCTAAAAAAAAAAAATATGCAGCATCATTATGACTATAATCCAGATTCAAGATTTTACATTACCACCTTGACAAACATCTGATGGTCTGTACGAATACAGCAAGAACTAATAACGCCTTCAGCCGTAATTAACTGCAGAAGACGGAGCACCTGCTTTACTTGTAAGAGCAAGTCAGTTTAGCTCAGTGATTTGACTTTGCGTCCAAAATCCTATCTGATGAATACGCTTCAGATTTGTCCGGAACAGCTGCTCGTCCTTGCCCTTTCTCCCGCTTCCCTCTTGGGCTGTTTCCTGCCTCACCTAAAACATCAAAACCGAGAGCATAGGTTGACCCGGGGTCATTCAATAAAGGCTGGAATTACACAGGATCACGAAAAAAAATCATGTTTATCTTACAGGAAAAGATAGATGTTTTTAGGATGTACAGGTTGTGATGCATTAAGATTGGATGCTGTTTAAAGTATGATGGATGGCATCTGTCAGATTCACATGTAACCTTTTGCATGTCCTTTTGTATGAAGAAAAGAAGAAAAAAATAGCAGCTTTACATGAAACAAGAAAAAGTACCAGCCCAGAATCAATCTCCTGCCTTGTAAATATCTCAACTGTTACTTCTAAAATGCAAAATCATGTTCTATGATCTCCCCTGTTCACACAGGCCTGCCTTGAAACATCTTCAGGAACAGATGCTATGAGTTGCATATTTCTAAACTGAACAAAGCATCATGAAAAATGGTAAATATGTTCTGAATTACCAGCATGTGTGTTTTGAAGCCCCCAGGCTGTGCTTCCCCATATGTCTCATTCACATCCATCCTAGTCGGAGTGTTTTCATAACCGGACAAAAAGCAGAGCACACAGTGAAAAGGAAAAAATAAAAAAAATAAAAGAAATGAAGAGGAAGACTGTGATTTTGTGTCTCCCTTCTGTCTTTGCTCATCTTGGCATTTTTGGTGGTAGGAGCATTGATTTTATAGATCTTATACCCTCAGCTACGGGGATATGTTATGCTACAATATGATCCATACTGCAATCTGTCTCATCACAATAGGAAATTTCTGTCTGATTTTTAGCTAATATCACCCAAAAATGCCGACTATACCATCTGGGTGTGTTCAGCTGCATACAAAATGTACATTAATTTAAGGGTGAATAAAAAAATTACTAAAACATATATAGAGAGAGTGTGACTTTAACTTTACAACTAATATGACTCAACTCGTCCTCACTCATGGCACCTCCGGCCACTCACTTCTCTCAAGGTTACAAGGGACAGAGAAACTGGCGAGGATTCATTCAAGCACTGCAAAAGTGGGAGACTTGTATCAAGCCGACATCTGCAAACACATCAAGAAACATCCATATTTGCTGGAGCGGTCCATTTTCTCCATTGCCGCTGAGCAACTTTATAAGAGATATGACAGATCCTAATGCAATGCGATCTTGATAGCGCGAATGTTAAGATATACAACAGCACAGCAGATACAGCCCAGTGACTAATGGTGAAGAAGACAACACAGACAGCTGCCTTAGGTTTGTAATCTTCTACTGCATGCTGACGGACAAACGGCGGCGTATTAGCAGCGAGGATGTATCAATTCCTGCATGTATTTGAGTCAACGGGATCGTTGGTGTGTCAATTGCACTGTCAAACCCTAGCAAAAGGGGGGAAAAAAATGCTGCTACGCTTTGTTGTTTATAGTGCCAAAGCTATTGATTATCCCTATTATTAGTATTATTATGGGATTATTAGTGCCATCAATATATTTAACATGGAAAGCTGTTTTGTTGACAGCAGACAGGGACGCGAAGCTAACTTGGCTGAGTATCTTTTTAAATACAGACTGTGTAAAAGTCAGCGTCCAAAATGATTATCTTATGGTCATTAAAAACTATTTATTCCGGGAAGCCTGGTGGCTTAAGGGTTTAAGACACTGACCATGTAATCACAACACTGCCTGATCGAGTCTGGCCAGGTCTCTCTCCTCATTTCCTGCCAGCTCTCTATTGTATACTATCTAATAAAAACAGAAAAAAAAGTACCCATGAAAATTTCTGACTAAAAAACCCTCGTCCAAACAAAACATATTGATTTCTTTTCTTTCTTTTTTTTTTAGGGAGGGGGAAAAAATACCTGACGTGTGGGGGGTAATGAAAATAAAAAACTAAACGTTTCACAACAAGCCTCGAGTGACCTGCCAGTGAAGTTTGGACAGATGTGCAACAAGTTTACAGAACTTTGCCGCGGCTGGCTATAATTCAGAGGCAATGATGATTCGATGTCAGACCTTAAAATGTCACTGCTCAGTTTTCAGGGTAACGCACTGTCAAATCTGAAACGTATGACATAAGTCTACGACCTGCTGCCTACAATAAGTGTGATATAATACCACTGTTTGTGTGCAAATCTGCAGCTGTAAAAAAAAAAAAAAAAAAAGCTGAAACTTACTGTCCCTGTAATCTTTTTTTTTGCACAGATATAAATCAGAGGTCGCCCACAATCACACAAAGGTAATTTTACATAACTGACATTGCCACCACTTAATGTGCTTCAGAATACCAAGAAAAACCTGCGCTTTAACTCCATAATTATACATAAGAAAAAGACCTACAGTACTTTCATAATGGCCTTACATGTAAAAGACAAGCACAAGTCTGGTAGCTACAATGAGAGGAGAAAAAAAAAAGCTATTTGAAATCAATAAGTCAGCTGGAACATAATTGTAGCAGTGGTGTGAGACTGCAGCAATGAGCAGGTCACCGGTGTTATCCAATGAATATCTTAACAGAATAATTAAAAATACACAAGGAATTTAAATGTTTCCTGCCGACTATGCTCTCAAAGTGCCTTTGGGCGAGACAATCAAGCAACAACTGCTCTATTTATCAAGCATCAGTGAAAGAGTGGAGCTGCACAGGGCCAACTCTCAGGTGTGAGTATATTTTTATGTGCAGCCCTCCCTCACACGTATCCCCTCCCCACCGACCTTTGCTGTAAATATATATGCTGTCAAGCTGTCACAAAGCTGTTCATTCAAAATGTCAAACTTGAAGTTATCAAACTGCTCTAGATTCTGCATCAAAGTATGTTTGTATCGTTACCCCTTCAAGCAGCCCCTTAAAGTGCTTCTATGGATTCCCCTCTAAAAATGTTTGCAAGTTTTGCAATGCCGTTGGCTTTACTTTTTGGTCATTTGACTGCTAAAAAACCTTTGCTCTGTATTTACTAAATCACAACACAAGCCAAGCGCCCTTGCTCCCACAACACACTCACAGAGCTGAAGACAACATATAAAATGCATGTGAACTATGGATGAGACTGACCCATGTGAAACTTACAAAACACAACAGGAAGTATCTGCTGGGCAAACCAAATGCTAACCATGTTTTTGTCCCATTATGTATTCTGACTTTCAATCATTTTTTAATGGTATGTGTGTCCCTTTTTTTATGAAGGTAAATTAGTCATTTTTATACTAGAATAAATATTAAACCCATTTTGGAGAAGTAAAGCTTCCATCTTTAGGCTATTCTGAAAACTGGCCAGCAAGCTCATAGCTCCCAAAAAATAAAAAATAAAAAATAAAACACAGCTTCATTACTACAAACCTAGCAGCTGAAAGAACTGGAAGGAATATAAAGTAAGATACGCTGCCCAACAAACAGCAAGTTTCTCAACTCTGTGCCAATCATACTTAAGCTCAGGAATATTACAATGAACAACAAAATCCTGCATTACTTGCCATTACTTGCACAAATCTGGAGATTTTAAAATATGTTTTTTTTTTTATACACTGCCATGTGAAGTAAAATCTAGCTTTTCTTTCAAAATCCTTCAAAAATATTCCTCCATATAGAGTTGGCTTTAGCTGAGGTAACACACACACACACACACACACACACACACACACAGTATGCTTCCTCAACGTGCACTATTCCATTACAGAAACTATGCCAGCATATCTGGATATTACCAAGGAGAAATCCCAGACAAATATAATTTCATCTGAACCCTATCTAATCCATCACTACAAATATCGCTCAAAATATGACTAGCATGTTTAATTATTCATCTCCTGACAAATTTCAAGCAGACTTCACAATAGTTCAAAGTTTTTCATAAATGAGTGTGTGAGTGTGTGTCAGTGGATCAATTGCCTTATTTTAAGTGAATCAGACAACTCTTTTAAACTGAACATGCATTCGTAATGATCAGTGTTTGACACATGCTCCTTGTGGACCACGGATATATTTATATATTAGAATTATCACACAATATAGGAACAAGTTAGCTTGAGCAGCAACTTGGCAGGTATTAAACCTAGTGATGTGCCTTTAATTTAGCGTACTCACATGTACTCTGTTTTTGACATTGAGGCCATATTTTTTGGTAAGTGCGGTTTCAAAGCTATTTTTCACACTTACAGTATCAGCACATCAGGCGCGACACAACACAATATCTGTGGGGTCAAACAGTAGCAAGGCAGCAGTCCTGAGACAGCACGCCCTTCTGTGTCCACATGAGATATGTGCACGCTGCACATGTGGCTGCAGCAAATAAGGGGGTGTGTCAGCCCCACTCAGCCGGAGAAGTAAAAGTGAACACATATAATATTCACCCTGGAGTTGTGTTTTATTGCCGGGCCCGGGCTGAAGGAACCATCATGCATTTAGCCCTTACACATGACCTTGATCAACACAGCCTGTTAACCTAAGAGGTGTTTCCCTACAAGGCCTTAGGCAGCGAAAAGTCACAGTTGGCAGAACAGTGCAAACACAAAACATTGGAATAAACTCTTATATAAGTGCAGATAAAATTAACTCACCGTCTTTGAGTCTAATTCATGGTGCTGTTGAGCTAAGACTTTATCTACACTGGCAGCATCTGTAAACGTAACAAACCCAAATCCTCTGCAAAACAAAAGACACAGAGAGAGGAAGAAACAGTGTTAAAAAAAATGCACACATGCAAAAGTATATTTAAAAAAAAAAATACACACACACAGACAAATTCTCTTGCTTGCACATACAAATTGTGAAAAATAACGCCACTTGCAACAGTAATCTGCACGACAGCAGGCACAATATTGCTATGACCTTATTACAGTTGCAATATTTCTCTGTAAATACATTTAGAATCCAGATTATGGACGTCCTGTGGCAGATCTGAAAGCGAAACTGGGGCCGGCGCTGATCATTATTTGCTATGTTACAATGTGAGACGACACTACACCAACATTGTGGTGCAGTCACAAAGTCAATGTCAAATTGCATTCGGCCGCAGCTTTACAGCAGTGAGCATTTAAGCTTATCTGGCTCGCTGTGAAACCACACGCAGGCGCGCGCACACGGGGACACACACGAACACATGGGGCGCGCGGACACACAAACACACACACGCACGCACGGGAGGGAGGGAGGGAGAGAGGACACGCGCGCGCGGGCACACACATGCACGCTGGATTAACACTAAACACGGTCAAAGTAAAGCGATATCGTCATGTGCACTGGGAAGGGGGAAAAAGTAGAAAAGCCCTGTTATTTACCTTGAGCGTTTTGTCGTGGGGTCTCTCATCACCATACATTCTCTTATTTCTCCGAATTTACTAAAATAGTCTCTAAGGCTGTCTGTGAATAGAGAGGGAAAAATATGTCGGGTCATTTGACAGAAACATATGGGCATGCTGTTTGTCAGTGCATTTCAATAATAAATAAATAAATATTTAAAAAATATATTTAAAAAAAAAAAAAGAAGAAGAAGGAAAAAAAAAAAAAAAAAAACACCCCGCGATGCGCATAGGGGTCGAATAGAGGACTTCAGATGGACGGAGATCAAAAATAACATCGAGCGCACACACTAGTGAGATATCCCATACAGTAACACTACTGCACAGTGCACATTCGCACATACACCGCCAGCAGCTACGGCTACGAGCACTCAGTCACAGCGACAAAAACAACAAGAAATACTGGATACGGTGTAAAAGAGAATAACAGTCTCACCTGGTGAGGTTTGCCAGCTGAGGCCACCGATAAACATTTTACTGTAAGGGGAAAACACAACAGAAGTGAGTCCAGATGTCAGTTCGGCCATTTTGACGACTAACTACTTCTAAAAGCGACCTTAAAGGATAAAGGAAGACTATGAAAACACATTCGCGCTCGGTAATTATTCTCTATCTACATAAAAAAAGGAGGAGGAGGGGGGGCAGGCCACTCTCGCTACAAAGCTGAGGTCTTCCAAAAAAAAAAAAAAAAAAAAAAAAAACTGCATCTGGAAACGGACCGGGGGTTTTAAGTGCGTACTGTGGGGGACGAATCCAGCACGGCAGTCGAAGTCCTCTCCAAGATGTTGTAACATGAAAAAAAAATCGTGCCGTAGGATTAAATTTAGAAAAAGATTCTTACCCCGGGTCATGTTGTGAATCATTTAGGCTTCCGGATGTGGCTTGACTCCCGTCTCCTTCCATATCTATTCCAAACTATAGGCTGGGACTACAGTAACAGTGACAGACACACACAGATACGGCAGGAGATATGCAAAGCCCCGCTATGAGAATATTACTGAGCCGGGAATGAAAGCGTCACACGTGGGATCAGCTCAGCCCCCTGCTCCCTCCTCCCTCTCTCAGCATGCTCTACCTTGGCCCACAGGGGGCGGAGCCTGACTCTGTCACCTAACCAATCCAATTGACGTCAATTCAGGCAATCTGCAAACCAATCCTCCGATTTGTCATTTAATTAAGCAATAAGCCACTAGAGGTGAAAGTGGCTTATTGCTCTTCTAAACCACTGGACACATAGCATGAGAAAATGTTATTTCAAATTAATACTGTTTACAAATTGCAACCGAGCTTTTTTGAAAGCAGCATTTTATTTTTTTTTTTTTTATTCTTATTCTTATTAATTACAGTTCCTTAATATTCCTCCGCCGTGCAAAATAGTCCCCTAGAAAGAAGTGGGGCAGTTCCTATTTTCATGTTAATATTTAAATCATCCTCATTGTTATGGCTCGCAGGGGTTTATTGAGAAATAATCGGGGGTTTAATTCAGCTGAAAGCTGCATACAGTGTGAAGCAAAGTGTAAAACAGGTATTGTGCAGCACCAGTAAACTGGCATCTTGTTTATAATTGAACCATAATTGAATACTAACAACTGAATACAAGCAATTATTGCATGTTTTATCCCCAGAAGCACTGCAGAGTTTTACAGTGGTAGCTGGCAATGTCATTGCAAGGTGATATGTTGCACATTTTACCAGTAAGGTGAGTTTTGGGGTTAATGCATTTAATATTTGTTATTTTTAGTTTTTGGCAGGTGCACACCTAATTAGCATTAGAGCTTCAATCATGATCCATGCAATCATGATGCACTAGCAACATGCTAATATTTATTGCCAGTGCTACCTCATCTATATATAATGTGCCAAAAGTCCTGCGTTTATCGTTGTTATCAGAATCTGCACGATTTGCACTACCCTCTCTTGACACATACCCATAGATGTACGTACTAGTTTAACACTCATTGTCCTTTCTCTTGTTGCCCTTGTTTAAATATGGGCATGTTTTTGTGTATATGCTTTGGGAGCAAAGAAAAAAAACTGTCCTATTCCTTGTAATGTGTACTCTTACTTGGCCAATAACGCTGATTCTGACGTACATGCTAAATTAAAACACTTAAAAAATCCAACACAGCTCACATTACACAGAGGATCAGGTTTTATACTGTACTTAAAGGTGTCCAATATTATGCCACGAGGCGGGCTGATTATTAAAGAAAGTCCTCGGAGCCATACAATCTGTGTTCCTTCATGTTTCATGTGTCCCTGGCCAAGATAGTGAATCTGTGTAGCTGACCCCAGGGTCTCACCTTTAACCGTCGTATTCATTATGATAGCCAACAAAGAATTTTCCCGTGGGGATCAATAAAGTATGGTATCCACACATATGGTGGTGTAATTATGGATCTTTTCTTGTAGATGACCTGTAATGAGCTGCCGGCCGTGCCCTCTGTACAGTGTACGCAGAGATAAGCTGTCTCATGCCTCTGAATGACCTTGAAGAAGGAAAAACAGGGTGAAAAAAATAACAATAATAAAGAGCAAATGAAAGTGTGTGACATTTGCAGTGGGAGAAATATATTGTGATCAACATTAATTGCACAGTATGCTATCAATAGAACAAAATAAAAAATACATGTGGAAATTCAGTTTAAATTATGTATTATACATTTGTTTGTATCCATGCCAGATAGCTGCTCACAGAAGTCAGACAACAAATATTATATGAATGCAGTTTGCATTAATCTTAGCATGAGAGCTCTGTATGAAACGTGACTCGTGATCCTATTTCATTATTCACAGTCGGTGAAGGTTTTTTTTTTTTAATAGGTCTTCTTGTGCTGACTGTTCGGGGTTCTACCAGAGGGAATTTCTTATCTGGCCAGGCAGCATGTTTTTGAAACAATGACTTAGATAAAACCCGAATAACAACACTTTTGTCAGTTGAACAGCTAAAAGTCTGTCATTAGTTAGGGGACTCTCCACATTGCAGCTGTCTGTATCTCTGAAACAAAGGGACAGAAGCAAATGGTGGCAATTCCTTGTAGCACAGGAGTGCCAAAGAAAATGGAAATATGACACCTCATGTGAAAGACTATTACTTATTATACCTCCTTTGCACTGTTGTTCCGTCGTGTGCCATTTGGCGATACATTTATGGTTCCTTTACTGTTGTCAAATGTGCATCCTATAGCATATGTCTTGAATGCAAGAAAACACATCTGGGCAGAAATCCCCTGAGCAGCGAGTTCCACGTTCGATTCCCGGCTGACCGAACCATTTGCCGCGTGTCATTCTGTCCCTCACGTTTCCTGTCTGTTACCACTAAGTAAAGACATATAATGCCCCCTGCCAAAAAAAAATCTTTAAAAATAGAAAAGAAGAAGAAAATCACATCCACTCATGCAGCTGCACAGAGAAGAGAAAAGAAGTGAGGGAGGTTATAAATTGATGTGGAATATGAGCTCTGAGGAACAACAGGCTTTAAAGCCCATCACAAGGTGTGCAAAAATCACAGTGGATTTAACACATGAAGAGCAACTTCTGTTTTATGCTCAAATAAAAACACTGGAGGCCCAGGTTTCACGGTGTGACTGTGAATTATTCTGTTTTTTGAACATTGGTATTATTGCCTTTCTATTCACTGTTGTTATACCATGAAGAGAGCCGAGTTAAATGTGAAAGGAAAGGTACAGTCGGTGTGACGTTTTACAATATCTCATCAAGGGTTGTAACCCAGATTTGAAACCAAAACAACTTGATGCCAAAGCAGATGTGCGACTACTCTCTTTTAATATCTGGTCCTAGAAGTATACTAGTCTATCACATTCCAGACAAAATCTCTCATATCTTATGAATAACCCTAATTTAGGGTTTGGGTCCCCAGATCTTTTTTGACACAGACTGAAGGAGAAACATGTATGGATTTCTAAACAGAGCGGTGTTCTCCTTTAATCTGAGCAGCCGCCACCGCCTGATGAAAGTGCCTAAAGTGTTTATACCTCCTTCAACAACTTCACTCTGACAGCAACGCGTTTTGGAGCAGTTGAGCGTTTAGCACTGAGTGAGAGGGAAAGAGTGGGGTTTCATTTTACAACTAAGTATGTACGAACACATTTCCTTGAAAGTGATGCCGAGACACGGTTACATCAGCGTTACTTGGACACTACTTGGAGACGTTTTGATTAATGAGGAGGGACAAAGACATACTTTGTTGCATCCTGCACGCTTTGGACTCGTCATTATGTTCTGAAGATGGAAGGAAAATGGAAAAAATTATATTACTGCAGCTATCTCCTGTATTCAGCTCTGAAACATGAACCGCTTCTCAATAGGGAGGAAATTCAGCATGCAAAAAAGCTTGTAACTAACTGAGCCGTTGCATAAAAACTGAAGGATTTGGGGGATTGAGAAAGAAGTAAACTTGATAGCGTGTGAAAGAGCGGAGGGGAAAAAGAAAGTGAGAGAAGCAACAGACGCACTGAGATGCTGTTTTGAGAAGAGGCATCCTGTTTCCGGTTGCAGTAATCACTTTACACCCTCTGAAGCTTCACTTGACCTTGGAGAAATTGTTCTTGGATCGTGTGTAACCCCTTCCACCGCGCAGCTATCCCATATATAACCTGTAAACAAAATGCACATTGTGATGATAGACGATGTCTCATGCTGATGTTCATGCTGAAACTTAAAGGGGATGTTATATTTTTAAACAGAATTTGCATGTGTATAACAGAAACTCGGCTCCACTGCTTGTTTTCAGCTTGCACTCCTATGCGAAACAATCCACTCCTGAAAGAGAGCTCAGAGTAAATACCGTCTATCGCTTACATGAATTTGTTATGGGTATGATTCAGACACTCTTGAGATGTTGTTAATTTTATCCTTTGGATTTTGTGAATGATTTCATATTGATCACTGTGGATTGAGCGATCTTTGCTTTCCTCAGGAGGGCCTATTACAGTGAAAATTCAGAGCCCCAAGGAAAGCTGTGCAGAAGGCTGCAGATGTGAACAAATTGTCTCCCTCTAGTGTCCTCTCCTTTCTGCTTCCCCCTTTGCTGAGCTAAAGAACCTGTCAGACTGCAGGGAGAGGGCCAGACTGAAACATGCATAATTGACAGTCCTATTTCAGGAATTAGTTACCCACCAAACTGCAGCCTACCTGCTCTTTCATCTTGCCTGGAATAATTTAGCATCTTATAAAAGTCTATTCCGGCCGACCAGGATTAACGATTGATTAATTTAATAAATAAAATTCCTATTCCCGTCATTGATTTCTATGTCTCCTCGAGGGTAGCTGTGTGTAAACCTTGTCAAGTGATCATGATTTGTGCGGATTACTGGGATTGTGTATCTTTGTTACCACATAGAGCAACTGTTTGAAGTTAGATCAGTAGGAAGGATGTTCTGATGATGAGTGATTTCTCTCCCCCCATTATGCCTTCTGTAAGCGCACAGATGAGTTAATTAAGCTGTGCCAGAGGCTACGCACTAGCATTCCAGGTAGATGGCCCACTGTGATATTCAGACATCCACATTATTACACATTAGAAATGAAAAAAGAAACTGTAATATTGACTCTGAAATATTCAGCCCAATATCTATGCATAAGGCTCCTCAATGCTTGCCAATTGTGCTTGCAAATTCAGAAAAAATACAATATTCACTTGTACCAAGTGCTCAAAAGCTCCTTAAGGTAACACAGAATAGCCTGAAGTACCCCAAAGAACCACAGATTGTTACTCAGAATAATACAAAACACTTGCATAGTTTCAAGCTCTGCATGACCAGAAGACGTAAGGAGGTTTTGTAAGTTTTAACAGTGTGGTCCAGGCAAGATAATCTGCATTTTTTTGTGGCCTCGGCAGCCCAACACTTGCATGTGGGTCTCTTTTGTACCAATCAGGCTCCAACACAAGTGGATGATGACGACATCATTTACCTGCTCCACTGGGCTGGGAGATAAGCTCGTGCCCCTGCTGCTCCTTGGAATGTTCTGGCTGCTGTTTGTATGACTCCAGAGAGAGCTGTGTGTTACAGATG